CTGCAAATTCTCTTCCTCTCCGTCCCCTTTACCCCTTGGTGTCCAGTCCTGCCCCTTGCTGTTCCCATCCCATTTTCCTCTGTGGTCTGTGTACTCCTCTCCTCCCTCGCCATCCTCCTCCATTCCCCGTTCTTTACCACACTGGCCATGGCTGTTTTCGCTTCCCTGCTCATCTGCTTCTCTCCTGGCCCTTCTCTCCCTCCCCGCACACACTCCCGCACCCCGTTCCAGTGAGCACCCTAAGCCACCTCTGGAGAAGCCTGGAGTGTAATGTAACTCACACTGCATGTGAGAAGTGAGCTATTTATCATTATTATTAACGAACAGGATCTCTTGCACGGCAGAACGTTCCCAGAGTCTATTCCCTTGTCACCCCAGGAGTAGCAAAAAGATTTATTTGTCTCTGAATTGTACAGGGTGGCCCATTTACAGCAGGTCCATCAGAAGTGATGTGGAGCTTAAATGGGGACTGGAGGAGCCTGAGACCTGCATGGAGTGGGCCACCTGAGAGGAACAACCTGGCAGGCGTAAAGGTTTTGAAGGGGACGATGCCTAAACATACTCCCCGGTCCCCTGAAGGCACAGTCCTTTGAAACGGCCCAGAGCCATAAGGGAGTAGGTGAGACTGGGTGGGGGTTGCCATGTGGGACAGGGTGCTAGAAGCAGAGTGGGAACAGGCAGCAGCCCAGAGGCCTGCCTCAGGAGCAGTATTCGTGCCCCATGGGGCCTTTCCTCCAAAGATCAGCACTGTGCCTTTCAAGCAAGAAGGTGGACCCAGGGCTGGCTCCCACAATGAATATGTGGAGAAAGGTTGGGCCAGAATGGGGCAGGCCCAACGCCGTGCTGATTGGCACAGCTCTGACCCTGGCCCACAGATCTGTAGACCCTCAGCCCCAACAGAGACACCAGAAAAGCCCCTTCCCCTGGTCTCCTTGTTCTCAGATGGCAGAGTCTGGCTCTGCTGGGCATCATTCTCTAGGGGTGTCCTGGCTGATTGTGTCAATTCTATAATCGAGCTGTCCGCTGCCCACCCGCCACCTTCCCACATACATGCCAATAATTACCAGTGACCTGAGTGGATTTGCATGTTAAAAGGAGTGTCTGGGGACAATTAAAAGAAAGAGCCTATATTTACTGGGCAGCTTTATTCTTCTCCCTAATCTAACCTCCCAGCCTTGCAACTGCTGAAATTGTACCCTCATTTGTAGTCAACCAGCAGTGGCCTGGAGCTTTGCTTTCTGTGGCCCAGGTACGTGTGCTAAGGGGGCAGAATCCCAGCAGGAGAGGGTGGGGAGAGCCTGGGGCACAGCTGCAGGAATGAGGAGGCCCAGGGAGCAGGGAGCTGAGACTCACAGAGGTCAGTGTGAGCCTGGGGGTGGGGGTGCTCACAGGAAGGACACCAAAGATGGAGTCACAGCACCATAGCCAATGGCAAGAGCTGAAGTCATAAAATGGGGAGGCTGGACTAAATCCTCAAGGTCCTTTCTAGCTCCTATACATAAGCCATCCCAGAGTGGTGCATGGTCAGGACTGGCCTCCTCGTTAGGAACTTCCCTGGCCCCCAGGTTCCCCTCTCACCACTGCCTTGGACTCCACCCCTCCTATCACAGGCTCTCAAATCCATTTGGGAGGGTCTCCTGAGACTCTCTCATCCTCACCCTGTCTGTAGTAGCCAGGAACCAATCAATGGAGACGTTCTCTTTCTGAATCGTAAGGTGCCCATGTGCCCAAGTTCATGGGGAAGAGATTCATCACCTCTTTACACCATTTCCAATATTTCTCCCTTGAAGTGAGGCTCATCTCACCTTTCCTGGGGTAGTATTTTATTACTAGAATAATAATTGCAATCATCACTATCGAGTATTGTTCAATATTGCCATGTGTGGCTGGCCTAGAGAGAATTTTTTAAAATTTTCTTCACACCTAGTCTCATATATTCCTTCTCACAACCAGAGGAAGTAAGTATAACTAATAGCTCTATTTTACAGATGAGAAAACTGAGGCCAAAAGACATTTAGCAGCCGGGTACAGTGGCTCACGCCTGTAATCCCAGCACTGTGGGAGAATAGCGTGAGCTCAGGAGTTTGAGACTTTCCTGAATGAGAGTGAGACCCCAAGTAAAAAAAAAAAAGAGAGAGAGAGAAAAAAAAAACTCAGCCAGGCACTGCAGAGAGTGCCTGTAATCCCAGCGGCTTCTAGAGACTGAGGCGCAGGATGCCCACAGCCCCAGTCTGAGGTTGCAGTGAGCTATGACACCATTGCACTCTGCTCAGGGCATAGGGTGGGACTCTGTCTCAGA